GGTCATACCGCTTCCTTTTTTTCCCTTGTTAATTCTGATTTTAAAAAAACGTTTTGCATGGTTTTAACGTTTCCATCAAACCTTCAAAGTTTATGTCACGATTCCTCCTCTCCTAAGACCCGTCATTAGGTGAAGAGCACAAAGGCAAAACATTTCAACAGGATAAGATACCTCAATTTTTTTCAAGGAAAGACACACATTATCGTGGAATCACAGAACTCGAAAGGACCTTAGAAATCACCTAGCCAAATCCCCTCGTTTTGGGACAAAAACGAGAATTTAAGGCTCGGGTTAAGGGATTTGCTCAAGGTCGTAAGAGCTCATCCGTTCCGGACTCAAGGTCAGACTGAGATTTCCAGACTTAGAGTCCTGGGCTCTGTCCTCCTGCAAACCAGTAAGAAACGTCTGCAGACAGGATTCATCCGGAACCCCCTCAGCACTGAGTGCAGGACAAGCGAGCTACCAGGTGGTGACTGAACAGGGCTTCATACCAAGTAGAGGCTGCCGGTGCCCGCTCCGAGCTCCGTGTCCCGAGCGCCCTGCGCCTCCGCCGGGCCGGACCAAGCAGCCTGGGGCAGCCCCCGGTCTCCGTCCCACTGCCCGGCTGCTTCTGGGCCCGGAGGCGAGCCCCACTCCACCTCGCCCGGAGCAGGCGCTTCGGGGGTGCCCGAGGAGGTTGGCACGGTGGCGTGTGCTGCTAAGTCACCGCTGGAGGGCGCGGGCGGGTGGTCCTGAGCCAAGTGCTGCTCAGGCAGAGTCACCAGACAGCCCAGCGGGCCCGCGCTCACGGTGACGTCCTCCACGCTGACGCGGACCTGCGGCAGGGCGGCGGTGGCTGCTGTCCCGAGAACGAGAGGGCTGTCCAGACTCGGAGGGATGTCGCTGTGGGCCACCAGGACCAGGGGGTCCACCTGCCCTGGGGAGCCACCGTCGGCAGCGCTCGTTCCCAGAGAGGAGCTCATGGAAGCGATGTCGATGGTCAGGATTCCGGAGCTCGGGGCCTCGTCCGACCCGCCTGCGGAGCTCCCGCCGCCAGCGGGCGCGTCGGAGAAGAGCGCCGAGAGGTCCAGGTTGATGAGCTCGCTCTGGCCGGGGCCGCTCAGTTCGCTGCTGGGCGTGAGAGAACTGGCAGCTTCCAGCTGAGGTAAGAGACCTGAAAAACGAAGGAATATCTGGTCATTTTATGACCACAGAAGTCTAAGAAATTCTGCGTGTGCTCAAGGTGTTACCACGCGGTCCCCGAAGGAGGCGCTCACCGTCCCCTTCCTGTCCACCAAAGCCTGGCTATGCTGGGGCCTCACGGGTGACCGTCACACGCGGAAGGAAGCAAGCGTGGGGCGCTGAATGACGACACAGAAATAATTCTCTAGGTCGTTTTCATCTGGAGTCTAAGCTTTCGGCCATAACACTCTGTAAATAGTTGGCCACTATTCAATTAAGTGATTTAAACAACCAGAATGCCCTTGGGAGAAGAACGAACATCAACATACTTCAAAAAAATGCCAATGGGGG